GATGGATTCGGAGGGATGCATAAAATGAGCATTGTTCGGAAAATTAGGCGAATGTTTATGAGGATTGTGAGTATTTAGAGTATGGGGGTTATTATGAAAATTTTAGATACAAATTCATGTGTTGCGGTCTTGGCATAATGGCTAGGTTCGATTGGAGTTGTCCTATGTGATTCTAATGTGTTAAAAATTCAGTTTTGCTTGGGGGCAAGCAAAAGTCAAGTGTGGGGTATTTTGATAATTGCATAATTAGCCATATGTTTAGCATATATTTTTATTCATTTTTAGCTAATTATGTGCATAATGTGGATAAAAGGTACTTAATAATGCTTTAATTGTGTTTTCAGTCCAAAACACATGCTTGGAAGTAAAAAGGAATAAAGAGAAGCAATTAGAGACCAAAGAATGAAGAAAAAGGAAAACCCACACCTACTTGGCGAGTCCACGCAGCAACTCGGCGAGTTCATGAAAAATTTCCCGAAGAAAATTTAAAAATCCTTGCCTTACACGGATTTTACACTTGTACTCGACGAGTCCACAACCTGCTCACCGAGTTGCCCTGTTTTGTGATAACTATAAATATGGGATCTCAATCCGAATTAAAGACTTTTCTGGCTTCCTTGGAGATAGATTTGCGATTGAAGAAACCTTTGGAGACCTGAAGAACCCTAACCTTTGATCTTTTGAAGACTCAAGGCGAATTAGGTTATAGTTTCCACTTAATCTTAGGATTGCATCATGTTTAGCTTAATCGAATTTGTGTTTGAGCTTGTTTCCGTTGTAATCATGAGCTAAATTCGTATTGTTTCTGTTTATGAAGAACCAAATGACTCCTATGGTTTAATTATTACTTTTGTTAATTGTTTATTGGTGATTTTATTAAATTAAGTTTGTTAAAGAACCTTATGCATTAACCACAACTATTTTCTGTTAATTGGAAGACAATTAAGCTACATGAACATCTCTTAGTTGTTAACCTCATATGTTTATGTGACCACTTTATCATATGTCTAGGAATAATGAACATGAAATTAGAATTAATAAGAGAATGGGTAAATTAATGTGTGAGCATGTTTGAGAAACCAACAAACAAGAGGTTAATTGAAACACCCACTTGATTAACCAATTACAAATCTTATTTAATCCAAATAATTGAACTAGGGAATTAATTAGTTTAAACAATTGGCCACTGCTTGAATTGATTAATTGTCTAAGGGTTAGTATTAGTGAACATGAATCTAACCACTATAGTTGGTAACCAATAACAATTAATTTATCACATTATTATACAAATAACCATAGGAGTGAATTGGTTGGACCTAAACAGAAACTCTTTATCAATTTTGGTGAATTTTTACTTGTTTTAGTTTTTTTTAGTTAATCACTTGTTAGGCGGTGCGTTTAAGTTTCTAGTCTTGTAAAACTAGAGAAAAACATTTACTTTTTATTACTTGCTTAGTTAAAATTAGTTATTAGTTTAATTTCCGTTCACTGAGTTCGACACTTTACTTATCCAACTATACCACTAAAAGACAGATTCACTGCCTTTGTGTGCTAAATTTATAATTGAAAAGTAGGATTAAAACCAGTGCATTTTACACACATCAATCATACGGGAGACTACGTGGAAGATTGTTCAAACCGTGAACGATTAAAGGCATCTCTGGATCAACAAAAGAGTTATGCAGATAAGCGATGCAAACCCTTGGAATTCCAGGTTGGTGACCGCGTTCTGTTGAAGGTCTCACCATCGAAGGGAATAATACGTTTTTGAAAACATGGGAAACTGAACCCAAGGTATATCGGACCATTCGAGATCCTTGCCACGATCAGCCTGGTAGGTTACAAACTTCAACTACCACAGGAACTCAATAATGTAAACCCCACCTTCCATGTGTCCAACCTAAAGAAGTGTCTGTCAGATGAGACTCTTGTAATCCTACTTGATTAAATCAAGGTAAACGGGAGTCTACACTTCATAGAAGAACCTGTGGAAATCATGGACATGGAGGTCAAAAGGATGAAACAAATCCGTATACCCATAGTGAAGGTCCGTTGGAATGCCAAGTGAGGGCCAGAATTTACTTGGGAGCATGAGGACCAAATGAAACAGAAGTACCCACATATCTTTCCTAGCACATGAGTACCCACTTCAGTACGAATTTCGGGATGAAATTCCTTCTAACGGGGAGATGATGTGACAAATGTCAATTTTGGATTCAACAAAAGTCAACAGGTCAAAAAGTCAACAAAAGTTAACTCAACCCGTATTAGAATTTTAGGCAAATCTTGATATTTCCTAATGTACAACATACAAGTATTAATACGAAATACCTCTCCCTTCGCCAATTATTGAATAAACAAAAAAAGAAATCCTACTTTTGGATTAGCATCGTTAATTTCAATAATTCCAACTTATATTATTTTGGTATAAATAATATTTTCAACACATTGTGCTATTATCTTTATTGATAATACTTCTATTATGATGATTTGAATTTTTATAATTCAAATTAGATAATTAGACATTAGTTTTACCTTTTTTTTCTTTTCTAAAATACCCATATTTTTATAATAACTCTTAGTTTTTATAAAGGATAAAAAGGGTTGACTTTGGATGCATGGAAAGTCCCATCAAAGGTCAAATCTTGTTACAACTTTCCACAAAACATGTTATCCAACAACCAACCAAGCAACCATCACCTCACCCACCCCCTCCCCCCCCCCCCCCTTTTATCTTCGGTCGAGAGGCCTCTTCAGCCAACATCATCATCTTCATTCATCTTTTTTCTCTCAGGAACAAGGGAAAATCTTCCAAGAATTAATTCCTTCAAGTTGGTCCTTAGATATTTTGTAAGCATTTCCTTGTTAATCTAGTGATTTTACACACATGCATGCTAGTTTTGGGACTTTCACACACATTAAAATATGTTAAAATCCATAGGATAATACTGATTTACATGTTCTTCAACTATCTTCAAGTGTTTTAAACCTGAGGATCTTCATCTTCATCTCTTTAACCAACCACAAACACACTCAAGGTGAGTTCATACCCCATATTTTTGAGTTTTTCATGTTTTAGGGAGGGAATGCAAGAAATTTTTGATTTATAACACACATGTTTGCATGTTTCATTCTATGTTGTGCATAAATCATTATTCTTCATAAAATGTGCTTATTACTTGTTTGTAGAACATTTATTTGTGGTATGATAGTTGAAGATGCAAAACTAAGAAAAACAAACATAAACCATGTTATATGCTCATTAGAAAAATTTATAACTACAAAGCTACAAAGATTAAGATTTTATGGACAAAATATGGCTTTTCTAGAAAAAATGGTTATGATCTAGTTATTTTACCATTTTTGTGGGATATAACCCAAAATATGTTATTTTGGACATGTATTTTGAAACTAGACAAAAACACCAAGAAGTTAGCTTTACAAAAAAAAATCTATAATTTTATGTAAAAAATGGATTTTTTAAAACAAAAGTGGTCATAACAAGTTTATGGCATCATTTTGTGGGTTTTACTAAAAATATATGGTTTTAAACATATGAAGTTAACTTAAGTTAAATATCCCAAGAAGGGTAAAATAAGTTTTTACAAAGTTATATTTTTCTAGTTACTGTAAATATCGTTAAAACTGGGCAAAAACAAGAAATTGACTTTATGGTACTAAATGTTATGATATTTGTGTTAGATGTAAGTACATTTGTTATAATCTTTTAAAGCATCTATACATTATAACTTATGTGTATGTGTGTGTGTGTGTGTGTGTATATATATATATATATATATATATATATATATATATATATGTGTGTGTGTGTGTGTGTGTGTGTGTGTTTATATAATGGACTTAATAAAACATTATAATAAACTATAATTGGTATAGTTTATCGGTGAAAAATACTACTTTATCATTTTGTACGAAACATGTAATTATTTAAAGGTATAATTATTTTACACTAGGTATTTACTATGGGGAGGTAATACTTCCATGTACAAAAAGGGTTTTCATTACACTAGATGTAAACCTGTTATACAATTTTGTGAGACATAGTCTTAACCGTACAAACTTGAGTACATACTAGAGTCCTAAATTATAATTAGAGTCTCGGTAAGAGCGTTTGACACTTGTGTATAGATCTATACGGGAATGACAACCCTGCACCTAAGCTGTTAGTTATAGTTAATCCGGTAGATCTAGGGTGACAAATGTCTAAAATTCTGACGTCTGAAGAAGGTCGTTGCAAGCTAACTAGTTGTTAGCACGGTTATAATAACTCACATGTGATATTAACAATACATTTGGTTTACGGGGTTAACATACATACAATTAGTAATATATAATGATAAAACTATACAATACTATTTTCCATTACAACACTACTTCCACTTTTGGTCTTTCGGTTAAGACTTACAACTCATTTTTAAAGAAAATATTGGATTTTCTGAAAGCTCACTCTATCATTTTACTAGGAAAAGTTACCGATTTTTCTCAGACAAAACTCTTATGAACTCACCAACTTAATTGTTGACACTTTTTCAAAACCACTTGTATTCTCAGGAAATCAGTAAATAGGTAATCAAAAAGGTTTAGAGGATGGGGCATCGCAGCGTCACGTCGTTTAGTTTTGTCATATGTATTTGGTATCAAGTAAACAACGTGTTAGATACAATGTAAACTTCTTAATTATCAATATGATGGTTGTATGGCTTTGATCACTATTATTTATTATATTTTTGATACAGTACTTGTAGTCATCCACACTCGGATGTTTCCGCCATTTTGCTATGGAGGTGTGACACCCCCCTCTCGAAAAGATTGAAATTTGGCGTCATAAAAATCATGAAAATCTTTCTTGACAACCTTTGGGTATTGTACCCAATCTCCATCCAAAAAAATAGCACATATCATCTTCTAATGCCTTCGTTTCTTTAGCATGTCATGGAAAAACTTAAAGTTTTCATCACCCACCCCTGACGAAGAAACCTTTACTTTTTGAGCAGCATCTGAAGAATGGACACACTAACATCAACATAAATACCCTCATCAATACTCGAATCAGTCACATTCAATCTCTGGTGAAGTCGAAGATTGTCTTCCTCGTTCTTACTCTTAACCTCCAAATGCCAATTTCGAATTCTAGCTTTAATAAGCTTAAGTTTTTTTAAACAAAACAAACTTTCTCCATCCCAGGAGTACAACAAAATCATGAATCGTGCCTCTAACCATATCATCGAACCCATCCATTTGTAGCCATGAATTAAAAATTTTAAAAGAAGTCGAACCGCAGTCAGCTGAAAAATCATGTAAAATAATAGGGCAATGATTAGACCATTTCCTATCCAGAACCCGGACTTGTAATTATTCAAATCGGTCATATGTATCTTTAGAGACTAAATATATGTCAAGTTTACTAAGTTTAGCACCCATCGAATCCACCCTTGTAAATCTCTTCCATGTCATAGACACATCAACTAAACCCAGATCATCAATGAAATCATTAAAAGCATCAACATAAACATGACAAAACATAGACTCATATCGTCAAAAGCATTTCTAACAACATTAAATCACCAAAAATAATAGTTGTCCCTGCCTCCGAACAAAAGATTTTAAATAATCCCAAAGGAGTTGTTTCCCTTCCAAATCTCACGGAGCGTATACATTCATCATGTGGCAAGATAAGACAAAAAAATTACATATTCTTAGTATTTTTTATAGGGCCAATACTATAAAAGCCACATCTTTTTCACGCGTAACTCAGAAAAGTCATTTTTTTTGTTGCCTCTGGCCACAAATTTTATACAGAGTTATTACTCTAGCCCATTTAACGAGTTTTATAACTAACTGTGTTATTGTTATATATATATATATATATATATATAACTATGTTATTGTTATTACCCTAGCCCACTTAACGAGTTATATATATATATATATATATATATATATATATATATATTGAAAAATCAGTCATAAAATTGTGTTTAAAAGTCGAAATTTAGTCCTTGTAGTTTGCAAAAAATTTCACCACATGTCCAAAACTCAATTCTATGTTTTTTGAACTTCTTTATTTTCATTTATGTTTTTTAGTCAACACTAAACTTGGTATTATATTTTTTTCATGCTTTTATATATATATATATATATATATATATATATATATATATATATATATATATATATATATATATATATATATATATATATATAATTTTTTAGTGTTTTCCCCCTTTTTTACGTTTTATTTTTCGTCAATCTGATAACTTATTTTGATAATTTTCAAAAAGTCTAAAGTGTATGAAAACTTTTTTTATTTTTTATTTTTTTCATATTTTTTTACGTTTTATTTTTCGTTAGTTTGATAAATTCTTTTGATATTTTTCAAATAATGTAAACTGTGTAAATATATTAGTGTATATTATATTTTTTGTGTTTGAGTTTTTATTCATGTAATCAACTCCAATGTAACTTGTAACCTAAGTTGAAGTTTTGTGCAAATGATCATTCCAAAAACAACTATTTGAACCAAAACTCACTCTTGAGGTTCAAAACCTAATTCAATACATCTCATATTCTCAATTATAAATTTCAAACCCTAATTTTAAAGTTCAAATCCCAATTGGACTAGAAATCATTTATTGAGCCTAATGGGCCAATAAACCCACAACTTGGTTATTTGGGCTCTAATTGGAACCACTTTCATGAAACTATAACCTTTTGGGCTATATTAGGCCTAAAATATCTAATTTCACTTTTATAGGCCTTATTGGACCTCAAATGACTCACTTCATTCTCATGGGCCTTTATGGACCATGAACAACTCTCTTGAACATTTTTAGGCTATAAACCCCATTCCTTCGTCACTTTTGGGCCATAAACCAATAAGAAGGGCCCAATGGGCCGAGAACCTTCATATTGGGCCTATAATTTCGAATATGTTCAATATTATCCCAAACTTCCCTTTTCTCTTATTCCCGCCTCTCATTTCCGGCCCCTATATAAGAAAAAAAAAAAGAGAATAGATGAAGATTAAACATGAGCATGACACCCATTACTAGAAAAACAGCCTTTTACGACGCTCATTGCGCATCGTAAAAGGCTCAGACGACGCGTAAATGCACGTCAAGGAAGGCCCTGTCATAAAGAGAGACGACGCGCTTTTGCGCGTCGTCTATAGACGACGCGCAATTACGACATGCTTTTACGACACACAATGCGTATCAAGAAAGGCCCTGTCATAAAGGAAGACGACACGCATTCGCATTGTCGTAACCTTACGATGCGTGTGTTAATGACACGCATTGCGTATCAAGAAAGCCCCTGTCAAGAAAGGCCATGTCATAAATGAAGATGACACACATTTTTACGTATCATAATTTTAAATGTTTTAAAAAAATATTATTTATAGATTTACTTATTTTCAAATTAAATTTGAATTTAATGTTTCATAATAGAAAATAAAATATCATATACAAAAAATAGAATCCATTGCATAAATTTAATGCCATACAAATAATCGTTCGAACGACTAAGGGGATCCGATTGTACATTGTTATTAAGAAATGGAAGTATATTGTTATAGTTAGAAAATAAATGAGAGTACAATGCGCTACGTTTGGTTCCTCTCATATAGTTTCCGTCTTCAAGATTGCTATCCAATAAGCTTTTAGTATTCGCATGTAGAAATTCCATTGCAAAATGCACACCTGAGAGCTCACGTCCAGGAATAGGGAGGTCCCGTGGCTTTGTTGCCCCCATTGCTAAAATAACCGCATCATTCTCTTCGCGAAGGCGTTCAATTGAGTACACCGGATTGCTTCCTATTTCCAGGACAGAGGAACTGCAAAATAGACAAGAGGGTATTTATGTCTTTTTGAAAGTTTCTTCATATAATGAAGAAATAATCTAATATTTTTATAAACTAAGGAAATGCTCAAAATAGATAAGACTGAATAAGCCTTTTAAGGCAATTTTCAACGATGAAAGTGACGAGGTTATTTACGTGTTTTTGGGTGGAACAAAATATTACAACTAGATATTTGAAACGTTCCTTACACAAATCATTCAAAGATGGTCACCTGAAATTGGTGCCACTCCAATATTTGAATACAAGAGAGGTGTCAATTACTCTTGTGTGAACTATCATCAATGCTGCATACAAAAGTTACACAAGGGCAAATTCGTAAAAAGTCCAACTTTCTCAATTAAGTCAAGATAAAGACCAAGAAAATACTTCATGTATTAATCAATTCAACCCTGAAAACATTAATCAATTCAACCCCGTTGTTTTCAGGTTTCTTCTTATTGGTATCCGTACAAACTGTGAAGGGACCAACTGAGAATCATTTGATGAGGGAAAGGCCAATATGAGACAAACCCATATATATTCTGACAAAATGAGTCAGGTGGAGAGAGAAGGATGGCGACAGAGGGCAAAGTAGACGAAGATGGAGTAAAATCAGGTCTCCGTTGAGAAAAAGTAGATAAAGATGGAGTCGTGGTAGGGTTTGTGGAGGATTCGCAGTTGGCAAGAAATCGTTTAATCGGAGAGCAATCAAAAGGAATTAGGGTAATAACCCCCAAATTGGAAGAAGCTGAATTTGGAATTGCTTGATATACTTATGTGAAAATCAATAGCGAATTTGGAATCTCTGTGGACCCGATATAACCTTGTAGTGCTTTAAAACCTTCCAATGGAACCTAATCAATCATCAATGTTATCGTTAGATTATATTATATGTATAAAAGCATTAATAATTAATTCAGGTATTATATCCTCAAATATACCTTTGATGTACCAGTGACAAATTGAAGCAATCTCACCCTGTCTTCCTTGTTAACTGCTTTCACAACCTCCCAAAACCACACAACACTAGAACCTACTATGTATCCTGTGTATTTAGCATTCGCCTTCAGATCATCCACTGCATTAAAAACAATTAATAAGGCAAGGTTAAATTTAATCATGTAAGTATGTTTATAATTTTTTTTAAATATACTCACAAAGGAGGCAAAATAAAGGATCTATATTGCCAAATTACTATGCATTCCTACCTTGAGAACATAATTCATGTCTTGAGTTGCTGGTAACACCCCCCTTGAAAAAAATGGACCAAGAGTACTTATATAAATGTGACTTGTTTCACTGCCAAAAGAAGCAAACATTCAATCAAATAGTTGGCGGGCATAATGTTACCCCCAAATTTACTCTGAGAGAAACAAGCGAGTCCTGGTGTGTGTGGGTGGAAAAATACAAATACAAAATAAAAAATAAAAAAGATTGGAATAAAATCACAAAATTTAACCTTAATAAGTAAAGGAAGGTCACCTGCAGTTGTGTCAAATTGTAGAATCTTCATCACTAACATCAACTTCTTGTTGTTTGTCAAAAGGAGCAGCTAAAGCAACTATGACAGGAACTGCATACCAAAAGCAGCGTTTCATCGAATGGAATAAATAATAATAATAAAGTAAGATTAAATTTTTAAAAAAGAAAAAAGAAAAGTATGTGATGTTACCTTGATAGTAGCAGGGCAACACCTAAGGCATCGAGTATATTCCCATATATGTTTATCACAAGACCATCAAGTTTTGTAAGGGTAAATTGTGTGTATTCAATAAAAATTGGAGGACCAAAAGTAAACTATTTTGAATCTCATATTGTGGTGTTGCTATGGGACTGCAATCGGACTTCAACAACTTCACCAGCAAATTTGAAGAAATTAACTCTACAAAGACAACTAGTTGTCGTAAAACTGATCATGGAAAATGAAGTTGAAAGACTCAAGGAGAAAAACCACATACACATCTTTTTCTTCAATTTGGAATCTCAAATTTCCCATAAACAAAATTTTTGATCTAGTAGCTTGAGGAGTCGTGGGGGTTTGAGGATGCAATTTTACATTGTATTATTATAATAATGAAAAATATAGATTACACATAAACATGGTATAAAAGTAAAACATATAAAAGCACTTACAGCTTTCTTCCTCATCACCTTCTTCAAACGCTTCATCAGAGCTGCTATCTTTTTTTGTAGCTTGGTCCAACTGTTAACAAAATTTATCAATTTAGTAAAACAAGTTAGATTAACCGACATTCAGTAGTTCAATACACAACAAAAAAGTTAAATCCAACGACCTTTTTAGCAGCTTGAGGCTTTGCTGGCTCTTCATCGGAACTTTCATCTTCCTCATCAGATGAACTCACTTATTTTTTTGCTATTGGTTTTGCACTAGCTTTTGTCTTAGTTGGCTTACTCTTTTTCTTCTGAGGTTCCACATCATCGGATGAACTCTCTTCGTCGGATCTTTCATCATCAGAATCAGCCTTCTATACACATAAAAAGCAATAAGAATCAACATCTTCGCACAACATATAAAACACGCAAGTGTATAGACAAAACCATGCATTGAATACACACCTTGGTTGCAACAGTATCTGCTGCAGGTTTCTTATTAGGGGCAGTCTTAACCTCTTCTTCAGAATCGCTTTCTTTAGGGCTGCTGTCATCAGAACTTTCTGCTTTCTTTGCAGGAGTAGCAGCAGCTCCAGTTTTTACAACAACAGGTTTTGTTTTTCAATCTATTATTGTTGCTCCCATGATCGGTTTCCATACCTCCACTCAGCAGCAAACTAATTGTTTCCAAGCCACTCAATAGATTGATTGTCTAAAGTCATCACATGTGGAGATCATGTTGTCAAAAATTATAGGTCTCCTCAATCTGGAAGAGAGAAAGAAACCAACAGTGACTTAGGAGCTACATAAACCAGTTTTAGTTTATTAAGGATGTCAGTTTGTATTCCATGAAAGAGTCAATAAAGTATATCTTTGAGGACCTTCTTTTGTTGTATTGAAATAAGTTCATAGTTAGACTCACTAGATCTTTTATCTCGTCATCTTCTACAGAGGAATCAACAACAACTCATTCAGATTAAGAAAAATAACCATTATACAGTTTATGATAAGAAAAACTTATACAAGACATTGTACTCCTTATGATGTTTCGCATCAGTACTTTGATCTCAACTAATTCACTTTTTTCCAAAATTTTGGATGTAACTATTCTTAATCACAAACCTATTATGCCTAAAAAATAACTTATTTGAAGCTCTGACATTTATCATGAAAATATTACAGCAAAATTGAAGTTCATGTCTTCTATTTTTGAGTTTTGACGAGAGAGAGAGAGAGAGAGAGAGAGAGAGAGAGAGAGAGTCTCGTAATCCATTTTAAGTACTACCTACAGAACTCAATATGGAAGCGTAACCATCCATTTAACTAGTTGGTGTGGAAATCCATTCTTAGAGAAAAACCCTAGTGAACAAATATGGAGCTTAATAGACAGCTTGAAGAGTACCCTGGTGCTGATTCTGGCTACAATATAAACAATAATAATATTATTAGATGTTTCTTTTACTATATTAGTCAAGTATTCGGTTCTTAGATTTGTCACCCGAAACAACAATTCGTGTTTCATTTGGAGAAGATGGAGATCGTTTCAGGTAGTACAGGACCGAGTGGTGGGAAACTGGGCCACAGCGCAGAGCACACGTCTCTAGGTCCTAAGAGCACACGTCTCTAGGTCCTAAAACATACCTTTGGCGAATTAGATCTAACTGACGGACCATGGGATGGTAAGAATTTGGAGATGTGGAGAACATCGGTCGGCTGAGTAAGTCGACGAATATTGTTGAGAAGTGTCGAGATAAAGATAAGGTCGGTCATGTAAACAAAAACATACCTTAATCGTACTTAGGGCTTGCAAATTTGAGCAGTCATTGTAGTCTCCGGTGACGTGAGGTGAGCCCGAGGTCGTTGGTGGAAACAGGTGAGCCGAGGTCGCCGGTGGAAAGAGATGACCTGAGGTCGCCGATAGGAGGTGAGGTGAGGGAGCGAACATTACAGAGAGCACTCCTTGAAAAAATCCTAGATAATGGTCCCTGCAATGGCGGGGTCTTCAACTTTTCTAATTTTTTTGAACACGAGGTTTTAGATTTGGTCGACGCCATTAATAAGGAGACCTCGCAGATCAATTACGATTTACCTTCGCTTTATCTTCTTGTTCTCCTATTGATGATTTCAGACTCCGTCTCTACGACTTTACATGATATTTTTCAGAAAGGAGTCTTTGTGGAGCATCAAGGTTTTTCTTTATTTCATAACCCTGGCATGTACTGGGTTGAGAGAAAATGACAGAAGCGTAAGCTTAGAAGAAAATAAAACCCTAGCACGTGCTAGAGAAAAGGGAGGTGGCGATGGCTTAGGGTTTACAGAGAGATGGGAGGTAGAGAATGAAATGAGAACTAGAGGAGAGAGTATCAGAGAGGGGAGAGTGGATTGCAAGGAAGAAAGATAGAAGAAAGAAAAAACGAGGCGGGTTTTCAAAAATTTGGAGATTTTGTTTCCCCCTTGTCTACTAAAAGCGCGTTTCATTAAAATTATAAAGCGATAGGTACAGACGACACGCGTTTAAGATAAAGCGCCCTTCGTGTTTTTTTCTTTTTCTTGAGACACTAAATTAAGGGCACGCAATAATGCGTGACGTAAATCCTTAAATTTTTTAGAGAGATGACACTATTTTAAGGGCACGTCCTTTTGCGTATCATTAATTAGTGCGTGTCGTAAAAAGCGCGTCATTAAAGGTCATTTTTCTAGTAGTGACCTCATGTTTAATCCCCATGTATCTAAAGAAAATCCAATGTTTCTAGGTAGGTAATTACCTCACAAATAACTGGAGTAACGTCTCCTTCTCTCTGCCTTCTTATTCTCGGCAAAGCCTCTCTTCACTTACCCATCTCCATTCAATTTCTAACACTCCAAGATTTCCTCTCAAAGCCATCTAAAATTCTCTCATCTTCATCTTCAAAAATTCATGTGTGCTACAGTATGTATCGAAGAACACTTCATCCATAAGTCCATTCATCTTGGTAAGCTACTTCCATAAAAAAAGGTTTAACTTCATGTTATTGTTAAACCTACTTCTCTTAACTCATCATTTCGTGATCCAAGCTATTAGATCCATCTTAGGTTCTAAAACTCCACTCAAGAAGCTTACTAGGGCCGAGATCCTTCTCACTCTCAAGAAAAACCCGAAATCATCAAACCAAAGTGAGTTCATACCCCCTATTTTTCGGTTTGACTATGTTTTGGGGGAGAATACAAGTTGTGTTGTGTAGATCTATGTGTATATGCATGATTTTGTGTTTTTCATGATATAAGTGTGATTAGGTGTTATAAAATTTATGAACTCGAAAATATACATAAAAATGATGATATTTGTACACATAACACTTAATACCACATATTATGTAAAGAAAAGGCTTTAAAACATCCCAAGGTTGTTTAAAACTAAGAATATTACATAAGAGGGCCAAAAATGACAAGATAATAAAAAAAAGTGAAGTTAGTATGCATAACTTAAGGTTTTGAAAAGATTTATTTGAATAATTATGGATCTTTATGGTATTTATGATTTTGTAAGTTCCTTAAGTGTAAACTTTCACAAATGGGCCTCATTTTGGGCATCACGGTTTTGGGGCTAAATTTGTAAATTTTTTGGCTTTTGTGCACTTAAATGTCATTTTAAACAACATTGAGCCAAAAGTGTAAACCTTTTGTTAAAAAGGGTTGAAAATGTAATTTTATTAAATCTTGGGTCAAAAAGATAAATTATTCATAATTGGGCCAAAAATGTCAATTTTCATAATATGGAGGCCAAAAGTGCTATTCTAACAAAAGTAAGGTTAAAAATGTTATTTCACGCTAATCAAGCCTTTAAATGTAAACTTATGGTTTTAAAGGACCAAAAGTGTCATTTTTACTAAAAATGTGCCTTGATTGTAAGTTTCTGATTTTAAGGACCAAAATGTCGTTTTACAAAAAGTGGGACTTTTATGTCATTTTGGTAAACAATTAAACTTAATAGCCAACTTAACAGATCAGTTACGTCAATTACACTTTTATTGGGCCTAGAATATAATTTACATGTTTAGTGGGCCTTTGTTGTCCTCTTACATGTTTATTGGGTCTGTAATATACATTATATGCGTATTGGGTATGGAATATAATTTACATGTTTAGTGGGGCTTAGTTATCTTCTTTCATGTTTATTGGGCCTAGAATATACCGTATATGCTTATTGGGCCTGCAATATAATTTACATGTTTAGTGGGCCTTAGTTGTTCTCTTTCATGTTTATTGGGCTTGGAATATACCTTACATGTTTATTCGCGTAAATTCAGTTAAGGATGTTATGAGACACTTCATTTGGCACCTATTGAGTGCACAACCGTAGCCTGTAGTTATAACAAGTGTCTCCTGGAGAGAGAGCATGGATTTGTGTATAGATCTATACGAGGGTGTCACCCCACACCTGAGTTGTTCGCTAGAGTTAGACTAGGCCACTCTAGGGTAACAAATGTGACAATCGTCAATCTTGAGTCAAGTCAAGTCCTCAAGTCAAACCGGTCAACTCGATTAAACCTTGTGTATTAGGGCTTGTGTTATGTTCATACTGTATAACTTGCTATATTAATGGGAAAACATCACTTGGGAAAAGTCTTGTGTTAAAATTTCCTAAGCCTTAGTCCTAATCAATGAACTAAACTGATAAAAACCATGTTGCATACTCATCAGGAGTGTGTAGGGTCCTTAATCATGACTTAACGAGGCTCAAAAACCTTGCATTGCGGGGCTAAACACTCACAATTGTCACACATGGAACCCCTCTCAATCGTTTTCACTCTATCTCTCTCTATGACAAATCTCTCTCAAATCTCTCTAAGTATGTGAAATCTCTCTCAAATATCTCTTTGTATGAGAAATATCTCCAAGAATGTCAAATCTCTCCCAAATCTCTCCAAGTATGTGAAACCTCTCTCAAATATCTCTTGGTATGAGAAATCTCTCCAAGGATGTCAAATCTCTCCCAAATCTCTCCAAGTATGTGAAATATCTCCCAAATCTCTCTCAAATAGTTCTCGTAACTTTTTAGAATCATTCGGGTCATTCCGACCATTAACCGGGTCAAAAACGGCTTAAAACGGGGTAAAAACGAGAAAAATGGACCTTAGGAACCGAAACCCTTCTCAAGGAGCCGAAGCTCCTGAAGGCCGAGACCTAGGAACCCAACCGAGCCTCTGTTGGCTGAACCCGGAGGACCGAACACTGTAGTTGAGACCGAGTCTCGGTCTCTGTCACCTCCTCTCTGTCGCTTCTCACTCCCTGTCACTTCTCGGCCTCTGTCGCCACCTCTCGCATCTCTGTCGCTTCTCACTCTCTGTAGCCTCTCTGCTTCTGTTCGCCTCCCGCCTCTCTGCTCTCTCTTCTCTTCTCTCGGTCTCTATTCTCTCCCCTTCTCTCGGTCTCTGTCTCCTTCTCTCCCTTCTGTCTCTTCGCGCCTCTCTGTTCCCTCTTCTCCCCTCTCGGTTCCTACTCTCCCTCTTCTCCCCTCTCGGTTTCTGCCCTCTCTCCTCTTGGTTTCAGCATCAGAAGGCCGAACCTCGGCCAGAATTCGGAATTTTGTCACTTTTAGCCCCTTTTTGATATTTTTAACATTTTAAACCCGTTTTTCGTGATTTTAAAGCGGGATTTTCTCCGGAAATTATATTTTAACATAATAAACCCTAAATATTAATAATTTAAACATAATTTCATGAAAATCATTATCTAAATAATAAAGATCTAATGGGGGATTTATTTAAGGTGGAGTGTTGACCTTGCCTTAACTTATGTCACAAGTAACCACCCCACATCCACTCTATGACCAGCCATACCTCCCCACCTTACCTAGGTCACTTCAATGTCCCTTACACTCAATTTACACTCATTCCCATGTTTTTAGAGCTGGAACAAACATCCTCTCTCCTTATTTCTCTCATTTGCTCTCATTTCACTAAGTATCAAACACCACTTTTCTCTCAAACTTTTTCCACACCAATTTCGAGATTCAAGGCTGATTTTCAAGTGTTCTTCCACTCTTAGTAAGTATAATTCATCCTCCTTATGATTATTTCACTTCATTCTACTCAAATCATTGATTGCTTACACAAACTCCACAACTATAATGTTAGATTCTCGAAAATCTTCAAGGCATCTCCAAGTGTTCTTGAGTTAAACACTTCCATTCTTCAACAATCATCTACTGAAATCACTTAAGGTGAGTTCATACCCCTACATTTTCATGTTTTCTCAAGTTTTTAGGGGGGGAATACAAGTTAAAACACCAAGAACATAACTAAAATTTTCTAACAGCCTTCATCAGAAAAGTTAACTCCATTCACGGACTGTTTTGGGCATCTTAAACATTTTTTTTCCAAACGGTACTAGGTGAAAATAGTTCAAGTTCTTAGCTTTAAAATGACTACTTGCACATCTCCATACGGTTTTTCTACAATTTATGGTGATTTTTACAAAACTGCCTATCATTTCAAACAACAATCCGGACCAGTCTGTGATTATGGACTTATTCACCCAAGTTGGATGTCATTAAAAATCGTGATAAAAATTATAATTAAACTAGACACATTTTTTGAACTCTCAGAATTTACGAATCTAGTTTTCGACTTCGTATGATTTTTCTATGATTTTTCCAAAACAGTGCAGAATGGCTAAAGTTAGCCAACAGCATGTAACTATCATAACACTTTGTATTATGTTGAGCAAAGTGTATAATCATAAGTTCTAATTATTGAATGTGTTTCTTTGTTAGTTTATCATCATGAACTGAAACTAAGTCATTCATAATAAATATCATTCATTCATTTTAGAACACGTATATTAAACTATAAAAAGTATAGTTTAATAAATTCATAACACTAATACATTTCCATAAAAGAGTTCTTACATATTACAAACGTTTTAGATAAACTATAATAGGTATAGTTTATGATATATTGTATA